GCTGTATTGTTGATGTTTTGAGGCGGTGTGTTGATGTTACTGTTTACATTCCGTCTCACCTTCCTCAGGACAAGGTTACAGGGAGTTTATGGACCATTTTATAGTCGATCGGGGTTAAATTGGGCAAGGTCTTTCAGGCGGGGATAAAACCTCGGCTGGGCCCTCGCCAAAATACACAGTATGGACTGAGAATTAACGACGTCGCGTATAAATAGCCACACAGCGTGTACATGTACACTATCTGCGGGGTTCAGAATTACAAGGATGTGTAACTTTTTTGTATCATCGCGGAAACATCAATTTGAAGAGGATGTATGCCTATTTTGATGAAACAAATATTAAGACAGGAAACAAAGTCGATATGTTGTAACAATGGCAGTGGCATTGGGGTGACCTCAGTGAGTCGAGGCGACGATGACTGACTGGATCAACCTCCTTATCAACTGATGAAAGCTTCACATCACCGTATAAGTACCGCTCGGGGCGAAGTGAAGTCGCACCGAGAGCGACAGGCTCTCAGATAAAGTAAGAGGCTGGGATACCAGTAGCGAGCAGCTGAGATACATGTAGAGCATACTGTGATGTAAGAACTGTTGCCTGGGCTTACACTTGCCCCAGAGGGACCACAGGCTAGGAGCAATCTCCAAGCAGATCTTTTGGTGGCTGCAAAGTCAGCATCAAACTGGCCAGGCAGTATCCATTTGCCAGGAAGTTCACACCATTTGCCAAGAGTGGCGGGAAAAAAAGATAACCGTACAAAAACGGAGCCGGATAGAAACGCCTAAAAACGCCAAAAATAAGCCGAAACCTAAACCTCTGCTTGGAGAGTACCACATGGATGGGCTAAGTCGGGCAGGGATAGAAGATTACAGTGTCGAGAAAACTCAGTCTACGGACCCTGAGAGAGACTGGTGACGAGGTTACACAGTTCGGCCAAACCAGATAACCCGTCGGCAGGAATGGGGTCAGTGATTTGGACGCTGCGCCGAACGTTGGGCGACGTCACTTCCCTTCTGAGGAAGGCGCCTGATCAAAGTCTTATATCGACAGTGATTGATACATCATACTTATGCAACATGTCAGGACGGCTGTACAGGCCATAGTTTGAACATAGTCGTATCCAAGTAGATATCATAGTTGCGTGTCAGAAATAAAACATGGGCAGTTTAGGAAACATTACGTTTTTACATCCTGACGTCTGCTTGGATATCTTGAACAGAGGACACAGTGGTACTGAAATTTATGACCCTTTGTCCTTACGTTGAAATATAAACGACATGATGGCAAGACCGCTCTGCGCATGATCAGAAAGAGTTTGGTAACACGTCCTCTTGTGACGGAAGGCTGAGACTGGGAGCGGACGAAACATGTGGACCGTCAGAGGGAAGAAGGTCTTAAATGTTTGAATCCATGAGAGACACAAATTAACTATTCTTAAACATAACATTAGACATCCGTTGACGTAGTACTATAAAATATCGACTGCAGTAGCCCATACTTGTGAATGACATGTTCTTTAATTTTAGTGCAAAACGTAGATCGTTTACCGGAAAAACAAAGACGTATACAGCTACACGATTTGTGACTCCTTAGCTTTGGAAAGCAGCCAAACATTAAAGACTGAGTACCAATTCTAGTCTAGCCACATAGACGTGAAGAGGTCCAAAATTAGACTTGTTCGTTATGTCATGTGTGAGGGTGTGCCCGGTGTGGTCACCAAGTATCTGCTGAATTTATCCTCCATGACTCCGCCATGATTTGATACAGGGGATAGGCGCTGGTCAAATTTGGCATGGGTATACATTGGACTCGTGCCAGAAAATAAGGGTAGAATCATTTACCCCAGTGAAATCACGACAACAAAGCGAATTGGGGAAATGTCAAGATTGGCACCAACCAAGGGCATAATGTCCTTGCACCAACATTTTTACAAACTGTAGCGACGCTACAACTATTGCTGGTCCAGGAATTCAAGTTGATCTTGAGTGTTGAGCCCGTAGTAGCGTTCTGTGGTACGATGAACTTTAGCCCCATTTCTTTACTTCAGATGAGCCTATAGCCTATAGCCAAGTCTCATTGTTTTCAGTGAAGCCATCTGTGTGTTTAGTATCATATACTCCACACACTTACATAAGGCTGGGATAGTGTTTGTTTATTTGGTCAGATTACAAACAGAACTCTTAGATGTCCCGAGTAGGGACACATTTCTCCGGGTCAGGTTTTCCTTTTCTTCAGATGGCAGAGTTGGAACTCACACCGTTCTCTATTCTTTCCTCGCCATTCATATCTTCTCGTTTATTTTGCATTCATTTCGCGCTCATTTAAACTGCGGGTTGTACAATTTTAGGGTATCTAACCTATCGAACAATGTGTGATGATAAAAAGACATGTCTTATCAGGATGTCTTTATATATAAAGTGGAACGTGGGGCGATGGTGATTAACAGGCATTTAAAGTACCACTAGAATGCTCGGGTCAGAAAGGGTGACCTGAACACTGGTAGGAATGCCCTACCCTTTAGGCATATAAATACGTCTAGTGTTTGATCCTATAGATTGAATATGGGATCTAAAATCTGCAAGAAAGATGGTTCCCTTTATCAAATACCTATACAGTATTTGGCAGTCGTCAGAACAGTGTTATGACAATTTTGAAGGCATAAAGGAAGTCGTAAATGTGTGTAAAACTCGTTCTACCATCGCGTGTAAGCCCGGTAGGCAGGAGTGCGGTTTTGTGTGTTTTGAAACCCAAGCCATGTTGATGTAAGGTTTAGGGGGCCCGTCATGTGACGGTGGGCGGCGGGCCAGGCATACCGCCCGGGGTTACACAACCAATGGGAGAGGGACGGCCGGGGGTGTGCAGGGGGGAGGAAGGAGGGTGGGGTGAGGGGAGTTGAGCACATGTAAACATTGCCTACAGCTTTGGGTATATTACCAGACTGCTTTCCAGCCATGGTTTATCAATGGGATCGCTTCCCTCCAACAATGAAAGTATTATAGAGCTGAACATGGCTGGATAATAGGCTAACATAGATGGAGATAAAATGGAGTGCGGGTGATGCGGGAAGCCGAGTGTAAAGGGTAAAAGGAGATCGACGAACAGCAGAAGAATAAAGAAAGAGAATGATAGCGACTGATATCCATGACAATGATGTTGACTGGGCGATCCCCTAGTCTGATAGCCTGGGTACCATTCTCAGTTGTTCCCATTGATTCTACCTTTTTCTAAGCAAGGGAAAAGGGAGAGCCACCGGTAACTAGGGAGGATGGCACTAGTCTGACAGTCAGGCCCAAAGTGGTCCATTGTCATGCCCACTCGACTCACATGTGACCCAGACATGCGACCTGGTTACAAATATAGCAGCACTTAAACTCAAATCTGCTGCGATTCCATCCCTTCAGAGGTCAGTCTTTGAAGATTTAGACCATGTAGCAGTCCTTTGAAATTGAACCAGACAAACCCCTGCTGTCACACAATGTCAGCCTGATCAACGAGCTTTGATTTGTAACTTCTTTGGTCAGATGCAACTTTAAAAATGCAATCATAAAATGATGATAAAGAAGAATATTCACATGAATTGACATAAGAGCGCTGGCAGTTTTTGACAGTTTGCTGTGTCCTAATTTCCTGCTTACATTACTGTTCAAGCAGAGGTTGGTGGGGAAGATTGTTACCATTCTATCTATGCCCCCTTTTTCTGTCAATACCCACACCAACCTCTGCCAGAGGATCAGACATCGGTTGTGGGGTAGCGACAGAAAAAAAAAAACATGGCAAATATAGAAAGGTACTATCAACCTTCCCCACCAACCTCTGCTTGGAGAGTAGCTTATATAACCTGCCCCAGTTCACCAATTTGAACAGCCTTTAATGGTGCCGGGATTATACAAGCGAATGTGTTTCGTATTATGTAGTTCGTAGCTTCTAGTTTAATAACCTCGCGGACAAACGACTTGACTGTCCGTGTTTAGGTCAGAAGAAACTGCGGGGACAGTTGTACACTGTGCCAAGTTCCTGTCAGTTCTTGTATCCGGTGAGGGGCCACGTGGCTCTGGTAGGACATTCCCGGGTGTAAGATGACGGGGGCACTCGTGGTTAGATGAAAGTGGCATTCCGACAGACCGCGGGACATGCCTCTGTGCGCCCGGCTCGCTCGTCCATCACTCACGGCCAATAGAAGTGTCGGGACAGGCGGGTGTGGTGGGGGTGTGCGCGGGGAGGGGTGGGGTGGGGAAGGGGGTACGAGGATGCGCTGGCCACGTGCTTATTCGTTACAGATTAAAATTCAACTCCAGTGGCGCCTAGACTTGAGTAGCCAGACTCATAGCACACTAGGCCCAATATTAATGTTATCCCCGCACAGTGGATAACGTTAGACCTAGTGCAATATGAGTTTGTCATTCAGGCTAAGATTTAAACTAAGTGAGGTTACGGTTAAGTTATGACTAGCCCGGGAAGACATGACGACGTTTTGGTACCAAACATTTGAACTACCTTGACCAGGGACCACCTTGACCGGGAATGACGGTTTTATCTATATTTAGAGAACATAAACCTCAAAAAGGACATCCTTGCGGTTTAACGCATTTGTCACAAAGTTTATGTTTATGATAACGTACAAAGGAAGGGGAAACGATCTGTTATATTGTCATTCTGTACTAACCGCATTGTCAAGGAAATTTGATAAGGTAATAACTTTGTTAGTACTCAAATATAGTTCTAGCCAAGGGCTAATATAGTACAAAAGTGCGTCAGAAATCATATTCGGCATACTGGAAGATCACATAAATCATATCTTATCATTGTCTGAATGCTCCTATACTCAAACACATGACGCCTTCCGTAATCGTCGTGGTCACGAGGACGAAGTGATATCCTTTGTCACGAGACTGTATCAGCTATAACGTCACCGTTATGTCAACTTTGCCAAATTTGTCCGACAAAAATCCCCAAAGGAAAGAAAATATCGGCGCCACCCCTCTGCATATATCAGGACTTGGTATCTTCCATGTAGAGAAACATCGTCTGTTCTGAGTGTCAGGTCCAGAGATACTTTAGAACTCGCTCTCACAGGAGCTGACAATTATCCTACTTTCGTGATCACGAAGATTTCAAAATGTTTATCATATCTCTGTTCACCTCACTTCTGTACGTTTGCGTGTCAGGAAAAGGTGAGTTTTTACGTTAATTTCTTTCATTTTGGTTGTTCCTTTTCGAATTCGTGGCGCAGTAAAATCTCGACCTTGTTGGGTGAAACGTGGCGATCTCAACTAGTGAGAACAGCTGCAAGTAATTTCGTACGTCCATAGAACGATAGCTTAATTAGATGTCCTTGTAGATTATTACTTCTGTCTGTACCCTAGCTATCCAACTTGCCATTTTTCATAGTTCATGGCTAAAATGGAATGATCAGGAATGGTGATACCAACGCCCTTCGCTACTACACTTTCTAGTACAGGGCTAGGTAGTTCTACGTCATGATTTTGTTGAATGTACTTTTCTAAATCGTTATTCTTTCTGAATGGTGAGGGATCTTTGTGCGAAATGCGCAGCTAGGCAGACACAAGTGCACTGCATGATTAAGTTCTCAGGCGGCGTTTAAGTTTTACTTTTGGTCCCCGTTTTTGCCCGCGGCGCCGGCCGGCATGGGCACCCGGCTTGTTGTAGCGGCGCCTTTTGATATCCTTCGCCATTTCCTGCACTCTTCTCCAAGCGATATGTTTCCCCGTCTTAAGATAGCTATTTCCTGTTTTCCTGGTGGACTTCTGGATAAACCAACTTGGGGGACAGGAGTAGTGCCAATAATTCTACGTAAGGCACGTCCGATGCATGTGTGATACACCACAGCAAGGCTGAACGTTACTGTTGGTCATCAGAGTGGATCTGTGCGCGCCCATGGCGTATATGGGTCAGAGGTGATGACAGTGGGGTGAGGCTGACCTGATATCACGCGCCACTCCGCGTCACTCAACCCTCTGGCGCTGTCGTCTGCCAGAAACTCTTGGTTTTAGGTTCCAGTTCTACAAAGTGCAATTATGCGGATAAATATTATCAGGCTACATTGAACTCTTTGCCTATATCACTGACTGCTAGATACTCTGGGTGGGAACACATTATGATTTGCTTAGAAAAACGTACTTTTTAGACAGCATTTTCATTTCATTTTTACTGCAATTTTTTTGGTGGCCATGGCTTTCAGGACAACAAAATATGTTCCCAATTTGTGTAGTTATGCCGTTCAGGGTCATTTTTACTTATTCGCACACTTGAAATTTCACTGTGTACAATTTGTGTGATCTTGATTTTTTCAACACTTCCTGTGAATAATAATCAGCTTTGTTGACATTCCATCTATGCTCCAGGTTAGATAGCAACTTGTTACAGAAATATAACGTATGATCTTGAATCAAGACCTCATTTTCCGGTAGATGTAGGTCAATCTGGACTGATGATGTGGTATGTCATGGTGGTCATTGTCGTTACATGGTGAAGGCCTCTGATAATTTCAGTGGCAACGTGTGAAGTCAATTTTCACGACCCAGTTCAGCAGATATAACAGATTTTATTCTATTGAAATTGCAACGACAGCAACTATCTAAAATGTGCTTGACTAAACCATGTGTACCCCACTTTTACCAAAGCCATTAAACAGCTCTTCTTGGGAAGTTCTAACCTACAATTTCCAGAATGAAGCATTTATTGAAAATGTGTGTTGACTAAATGATGCCTAGCCCACTTTTACCAAACCGAACGAGTAAAATAGCTGTTCTTGGAAAGTTCTAACCTAGAAATTCCCAATTGAAGTGCCTTAGTGAGCGTAGGCCAGCCTTTCTCTGCCCCCATTCTTGTTGTAAATCCAGTGAGCTGTCAGCCAGATGGCTCCAATCCGCCAGACCAGTAGCTTACTGCTCTATCCTCTCTACAAACAAAGTGCCATTTTGCTGTCTGAGCCGGGCCAGCCCTACATGTCAATGCGCCATTGATGAGGGTAAATACTTCAGACAGGAGACCATGTCTACTGCTGACCTCTGCTTTGGTTTAATGATGTTGGTTCAATCCTGGTCTGCTGTTACCTTGGAGACGGCTCCGGGCGAGCAGCTCGATAAAACTCGGGTCTCCCCGGAAGCACCCGAATACTGCCGAATTTTAAAGCTTTCGTCTTGCTCTGGACTAAGTAACGTTTGATGTCACTTTTATGTACCTGATGTGATTCGTTTGTCCTAGATGGATCTGCACTGCAAAGAATAACTTAGTAGTATCCGATACTGTTTTCGGTAGAGATCGCATTCGACGATGTCCTGGAACTTGCGTGCATCGTATAGAATGAAGAAAGTATCAAACAAGCACAAAATCAACCAACATATCTTAATTAAATCATGATTTTAGAAGAAATTTCAATAGATACTGATATACCATTCATGTGTACAACGTTACAACAACAAACAGTTGTGCCATGAGCCTAATGAAGTGTACTTCCTTTGCAGAAGAAAAGGTGTGCGACTCGGACCTCGGCTGTTTCCGGATCCACGAGCCCTTCGTTCCCCGCCTGCCGACCTTGCCGAAGAAGATCGACGTGAAGTTCAAACTGCACACCAGGGACAACTATGACGAGCCGCAACATCTGTCCATCTGGAACATAGACAGCATCCGGGAATCTTTCTTCAACAGGTACGTTGAAGAATCCAATGCAGTTTTTAGGGCCTGAAAACGCGATTTTTCAATGTCAAATATTCTAGTCATATATCTGCATAGCGTACTGTTAAAACCACACTGTCCCAATGCATATTGACCCTCATGGAGCAAAAATACCAAAAATTCTGACGGAAAATGGTTACTGGAAGGACCATGGGCTGATTTTTAGGGTACCACCCAGAAAATAAAGGACTCATTTCTGGACCCCCAGTTTTAAATGCCCAAAGTATGAAATACTGATAAAAATGTGCTAATATGAATTTTCAATTATTTAGAATATTTCAATTTTTGCTGCCATAAAATTGCATCGGATACCTTAAATCAACTCATGCAAACTAAAAACTAAAATTCCTCATTATTCTTCTTCCTATCTTTCCTTTTGGCATTTTCCTTTACCAGCAAGGTTTCTTATCATGAGATGACCAACGGGTATTTTTGTGGTGATGTGTTTCAGTTCTAGGCCCACAAAATTCGTCGTGCACGGTTTCCTTGACGACACCACTGTGGACTGGATAGAGGACATGAAGAACGCCATCTTGTTCCGCGATGACGTCAACATGTTCTTGGTAGACTGGAGCTCCAGCTCCCAGACGCTGGACTACACCCAGGCAGCCGCTGACATCAGAGTGGTGGGGGCTAAACTGGCGAGATTCATCATTTTCTTACGGGTAAGAACCTAGATGATAAGGCCTTTAGATTGTTTCCATGGCCAGTTCCTCGACTCCAGAGCCGACATGCCCCCAAGGAAATTATACTGAAATATACATCGGTTATTCGCTGATCCTGGCTAACTCTGGGCCTAGCGTGTTATGGGTCTGGCATTCAGGCCTCTGTGATCTATCTTTGTATAGATTCGCTTTTCAATGAGGTAGTTCAAAGAAATGTACTACGTATACAATTGCTTGACTTTACTGTATTCGACTTTACTGCTATAATTTTTTTTAGGATGTTCAGGAATCTGAGTTGCTGTTTATTTTGTTTTAAGTTTTTAACCAGAGCAGAAGAGAAAGACATGCACATCATCGGGCACAGTCTGGGCGCGCATGTAGCAGGCTACGCCGGGGAGAGGCTGAACGGGCGCCTCGGCAGAATCACAGGTACGACAAGGAAATAGTATTACAAATCAAATCAAATCAAATCAACTTCATTGCTCAACAACTGTAACCGGTACAATGTATGGCATAGAGGAAACAGCATGGGTAGATACATGATATAATACTAAAACATAATTCTAACAGGGCTAGTGAATAATTGTGTTTTCTTAAGGAGAGTATTATTGCATAGCATTCTGTAATTCATGATCAGGAGATATGTCAGTTATCTACAATATGGTGTCGGCTTTTGTAGTGATTCAGATATGAATATATGTCAATGGACACAGAGCTTTTGTATGAACCTGTCACTTTTTACTTCAAAATAGCCTCCCTAAAATTTGCCACTACCACGATATGTACAGTGCAGACACCATTAAGGAGGTTAAAATATCATGATTAATTACCAACATTTTTGCTGACCAGGACAGCAACCTCTGGTTCAGTGACAGAGAATGTCCAGTACGTCCCCAATATGTCAGTTAGGGTGCAGTTGGGGTTAGTGACCCGATACTGGCGTATGGCATGATGATGCATGACATACAACAGAACAGAACCTGCTTCCAAGCGGTTTACCCAACTGCACATGTAGATGCACAACGCTATACGCTATACTTAGATATTGCGCAAAAATGACGGTAAGATTTTTGTATTTCCAGGTCTGGACCCAGCCTATCCATTCTTTGAGGACAAACCCCCAGAAGTACGTCTGGACACCACCGACGCCATCTTTGTTGACGTCATCCACACTGATGCTGATGCCGACCACAAACTTGGTTAGTATTTCTTCAAGAAATCATTTCACCACCCCGGTAAACAATGTTTTACAATTTAAGTCAACCATTTAACTTTCCAGTGATCAAAGTGTTCCGATTAATATTTTGTTTCTTTGTCTTTGTTTCAATAGGATTTGGAATGGATCAAGCCGTCGGCCATCTTGATTTCTATCCGAACGGAGGCCAGGAGCAGCCAGGCTGTGGGAACGACCTGTTCGATTATATGGCGGACCATGGGGTCATTCAAGGTCAGCATTTCGGACAGTCTGCATGGCACGTGTCTTTTTTTTATCTGTAGAAGTTAGGACTATGCTATGTTAATGGATTAAGATTATGAGACCAAAGGAGAATTGTCTCCAATGTCATCCTCTAAGAGGACACGAGAGAGAAAAACGCATGTGATTGGTAAATGTATGAAAATACATTTTATGTATCTTTGCATCTTGAACTTACCCTATGATTTTCAAAGCATGTTACATGTACATTTCATACACCGCATCACCCAAGTTATAAGTATGGTCAACCCATTTCAAATTCTCCCTCCATTTCTATGAATCCCGACCCCTGATGAAGCTCTCATCCCAATTTGCTCTTCTCGATTTGGGTACCAGTCGGTTTCTATTCTCCCTCTTTTGCCATTAGAAGATCAGTCAGACGTCCTGTCTAGATCTGACGCCAAAACAACAGTCCCCTCTTCTATGGAAGCAATATTCCCGACCAAGATGATAGGGGTTGCCTCCACTGAGGGCGACACAGTTGTCCCGTCTGAGGGCCCAACAGTCGTCCCGACTAAGGGTACAACAGTGGTCCCGAAGAACGGTACTACAGTCGTTCCCACCAAGCCAGAGAGCATAACTGTGGTCCAATCAAATACCACAAAAGACACATCGGGAAAGTCTTCTGGCGGCCAGTCTAAGCCGGATGACACACAAGTGCCCACATTACCAGTCGTTATAGCTGAAGAAAATTGCCCTCTTCTAGGCGGAGCCAACTACGTGGTCTGCAACCACCAGCGGGCCATCTGGCTGTTCATCGAGTCCGTCAACTCGGACTGCGGCTGGAAGTCGTACCCTTGCGGCAGCTGGAAGGACTTCAAGGACGGCAAGTGTCTGACCTGCGGCTCGACGGGGTGCTTCAGGATGGGGTACGACGCCGACAAGAACGACCTTCCAGCGGGGGGCAGAGTAGACAAAAGGCTGTTCCTCACCACATCCGACAGGGACCCATACTGTCGTAAGTGCCGACACTTATTCCTAGCAGTAAATGATAAGCTTCAATGTATCTAATTCTAATGTATGTTGCTAGAGGATGATTCGTTTACATCATGTGGTTAAGTTAGATATAAACATAATATCATACATTGTAGTTATCATTGAATATTGATTATACAAAGGTAGTATGTAGTAGGTAGTAGCCACTGGAAACTAACATAAACCCTGTATACATGTGCCGTAGACGAAGAGATTCACCACGTGAAGGTAAACATCGGCAAGAATAAGGACGCGACGACGGAGGAGGCAGAGGAGATGTTCGTCAAGCTGACGGGCGAAGTGGCGCAGTCAGACGACGTCAATGTCCTCAGGTCAGTAGAGCTGATTCCTTTTCAAGTCAAGTTTATGATTCGGGAAGTTTGTTGATTGAAGAAAGTGCAGCACGACACAAAAATAAGAGATAATCACTCACTGGTCGTGAAAAGAAGACAGCCACTGTGTACAGTATCTACGGGTTCATTGTACAGGGAAATCTCCCTAGCTCTTTTTGACAAGTACAATAAACGTTTAACAGTGGACCACAAATCAATGTCCCCTCCTAGACACGAAAACGCAGTAGCGTGCGTGTCGGCTGAACGACAGCCCAACCACTTGGTCCAGAGGCAAGGTCGCTAACCACCGTACTATGCACGGCGACGCATTATGCTTAAGTTTCTTCTTCTTCCTTCCAGTCACCGGAGCACCACGAAGATCGAGCCGGGAGACAGTTACGGGTTCGTCGTGGGCAGCAGGCAGCCGCTGGGTGCCATCAGGAGCATGGACATCCGCTGGGTCCCGCGCGAGGAATCATGGTACATGGACTGGTACAGCTCGCTCATGGGCTGGCTGAACGAGGAGACGCCATCTTGTGTCTTCCTGGAGAAGGTGGAGGTGTCGACGGCGGGGGAGAAGGAGTGTGAGAAGTAAGTTTGAACAGACAAATTCCTTCATTTCTGCCGACGCATGGGCATAATGCTACTCATCCAACATCCAGGGGGGGGGGCAAGTATCAACAATTGGACTATTCTGGGTATCCAAGTGAACTTCTTCTTTGAAATGTATGTGAGCTTTGCTATAAGTTACCGTAAAAGCTTAGCAGTTAAACGTTTATAAACTGTAATGATTATAGATACATTTCCTTGTAATCTCGCAGTGTAGACATGTAAATATTGTAAGTTTTGGAATGCATCTACGGTGAACTGTATAGTCGAAAAATTATCTAAAGGTAGAAACTACAGATTAGTTTATATAACATTAAAAGAACAGTAATCACTAAGATTTCTTCTTCCTCCTTCCAGGTTTGAGTTCAACTGCGGCGCTCAAGAGCTACTGTCGAAGCAGACTGAAACTATCCAAATTGGAGCCTGTAAATAATGACAAGTACGGAGACTGTATATAATAACTAATATTACTTCTGTAAACAGCTACGATTATAGAACTGTTGCAGAAGCGAAAGCATTGTCGTATTTATGTCAAATATGCATATTTATACATAGTATTTTCGTCATTTACTTAATCTGTATAAAGTGACACACTTTCGTGCAACCAAAGAATTGTATTATTTTTACGAGGAACGATTTGCAAATAGAAAGAAAGAGAGTCAGTTTTGTCATATCTGGAACAAATTGTTTTTATTAGAAACTGATGTTGTGGTGTGGTGTGGTGTAATGTGAGATAGCCAATTGAAAATGGATAATGCCCGAATCTGCAGTTATGGTCAAAAGACGATGAAGCCCACCATAGTACCATAGTTGTCATTTATGACATTGTGATTGTTAAGTAGTGTCTTCGAACATTATCAATGCAATGGATCCGGACCAGACAATGAACCATAATGGCATCTGCCGAACTACTGACTGTGTAACTCATTGGTTAATGTGTTGTGGTTAAACTTCTACTTTGAATTATTTTTGGTTAAAGGCGGTGTCGTTACATGTAATACACCTTCTCTAGGGAACCTAAAATGATTGACGATAATGTAAATATTTTGAAAATGAACTATTCTGAAGAAAAAATATTTTCTGTAATAAAATAATGTTTATACTATGTACGCTGAAAGTTTGTTTGTACTTCTATTTCACAACTTGCATTCTTAATAGACTAGCTTAGCACTGCTTGCATAGCTGGGCAGTTATATTCAGAACGTTACGGGTTAACGGTCTTATTTTTGTCACTTTCTGATTCTGTCATATATATATGTATGTCATATATATATATAT